ATTTAGCTAGAGGCATGAGACATACTTAGGGAAGAGGTGGGGATTAAATCCTAAAAACTAGGTTAGATTCTGGTTTCTAGAGAGTTGGACTTTAAGAACTGGCTAATAAGACTGGCCATTTGTATTTAAGCAATGGGAAGCAAGGGAAGATGTATGAACCAGAGGGTTATAAGATCAACACATGCTTCATAAAAAATTAATCTGGATTGGAGAAGGTAGAGTCTTGTGGAAAGGGGTTTAGGCAGAAGACTTTGCAATAGTTTGGTTACAGAATCAAGAAGATCTAACCACTGATTCAATGTTGATGGGAGAGAAAGAAGTCCAAGAGGGATCTGAGGGTTGAAATCTGAGTTATTTAATCTTGTGACATCATTAAAATAGTAAGATTAATAACATTTAAGAAATACAGTTTAGTTTACATGATGTTTTTACATACATTAACTCTTTATTTTTTTAATTTTTTTAATTTTTTTTTATTTATTTCTAGGAGAGAGAGAGAGAGAAAGAGCAGGGGAGGGTTAGAGAGAGAGGGAGTCACAGACTCTGAAACAGGCTCCAGGCTCTGAGCTGGCAGTCAGCACAGAGCCAGACGCGAGGCTCGAACCCACGAACCGCGAGATCATGACCTAAGTGAAAGTCGGACGCTTAACCGACTAAGCCACCCAGGCGCCCCTACATTAACTCTTTTTAACAGAAAAAGTGAGTCCGTGGAGAAAACTTGGTATTTGGGGGAGTAGACTATAGTTGACATCTGTTGCTTTTGCCTATCCAACATATTTTCTCCTTTTTTTCAATTTTTCTATAAAAGGAGGCACTAAAATGTTCTATGAAGTTTTTCTAATAAAATGGGACACTGGCAACAATCAAGACAAATCAGTGGAACAAAATGAATGGGCCTCCAACAGCCATTATTATATATAAGACTACAGTTCATGTGATTGAAGCCTATCCGTAGCTTCCAGGGACCTGAATCAATAATTTGCATATTTCCACATTTCAGTCATGTGATTGGTTACAGGACGGTCAGTGTCCCAAGTTAGCCCAATGAAATCAATTGTAGAATATTGAATGGAATATAGGGAAAGAGAGTTCTTTCTTTCTCTATGTTTACTAAGGTGGTGAAAGTAGGCCTGGTACCTATGGCAACTATATTATGAATGTATTCTAATAGGGAGACCCTGACTTAGAAAGAAGGAAGTGAGTACACCCACATAACTGAGAGAAAGAGAGAGAAAAGGGGGGAAGGGGAGGGGAGTTGAGGGAAGAGGATGAGATTCAATTCCCAATAATACTGAGTTCCTGGATCTAGTTCAGGACTCTTACAGTTACATAGGGAAATATATTCCTCTTTTCCCCATTTCAGCTATGTTAAGTTGGATTTCCATCATATGTAATACAAAAGACCCTTGTGAAAGCAGTAGTGATGTGTTTGGCTTCAATCATATAGAATTTCAGGTTCCAGCATAATATCTTGGTGGACTATAATTCCAAAGAGAAGCTGTAACCAGGGATCCATATTTGAAACTCACCTGCATGAAAGGGATGTTAAATCTTTGGAAGTGACTGAGATCCTCAAGAGAAAGAATGTAGAGAAAGCTGGGAGGGAACGGAGGGCAGAACAATGCTTAGTCATAGGAACTGAGAGACACAACTGCAGAGAAGAAAAGAAATGGGCCAGAGGGGTTAAATAGAAGTTAAGCAGATTGATTTGTCACTGGGCTGGCAATTGGAAGTCACTGGCCACCAGTAGGCAGTGATTTGTAAAGTCATGGGTCTTAAAAATGATTACAAGAGGGTAAGATATGGATTTCCCCTTATATAGTACTTTACTTTATCCTCCACTGGCTTTTGTAGGAGTTATGTATCTTATCCATCTTTACCACTCTGCCTGATACCCAGTGGGTGCTCAATAAATGACCGAATAAAAAGAAAATTGGTCGATGTATGTATAGAGTGTTTTTATTTAGGAAATGGGTTTTGTCAGGGAAAACATGTTATTTACAATGTACTTCAAGTTGAAATCTGAGAATGTGCCTGTAGCATAACAACATCCACAATTTAAGGCTGGCACGTAGGATAAATCAGCCTAGGTAGCTGCAGAGCCCGGTGACTGTGAGCGAATCATAAAACACAGGAGACTTGAGTAATGAACTCAAACATGCAAAGCAAACATTTTGCAAAAGGATGGAAATATCTTGTATTTATGATGAGAAAATCGAAGAAGATAATCCATCTTATATCATTGGGCTCTTAGTGATCACCAAAACCTGGTCCCTAGATTTGTTCTTTATTTTATATTTTCCTCCTAGCTTTAGAAAAGGAAGGCATTTTTGGAACAGGATGGAAAACAAGCCTAATCATGCATTTTAACACAAACCAAATGGCAATGATGGTTTGGACTGCAAAGAGGATTATATGGCTCCATGGAAAAGACTTGGTGGCTCTGATTGATTATTGATGTCTGCCATGGGCAAGGGAAGGGAGCAAATCACTATTTCATTCAGATCTCTGCTCAAATGACACTGCAGAGGGGTCTTCTTTGATCATTCTATCTAAGATTATCTTATTTTTCTTTATAACACTTAGCACAATCCAATATTACATCATTTTTACATGTGGTATGGTTTATCTTCTCTTTACTGGATTGTAAGATCCACAAGGATTTCACTGCTGTATTCCATGATCCTAAAACAGCATTCTCAACAAACACTGAATGAATGAATGAATGAATGAATGGTTTTCATGCTCTGTGTTAGTCAAACTGGACTATGATAAAGATCATCTTTGGGACTGGAGAACTCGGAGATAGTATTGCATATGAGCAGTTGGACCCCTTTAAAATTTTTTCTGTCTCTTTGTGAAAGAAAAGGAGAGTAGAATCTCTATAACCCAAGTGTACAAGCACAGACATCCACTGAAAATTAAGTTTTCAGAAAGATAAACAAGCATAACTTCCCTTCCTCCCTTTCTCAGAGGCTGTATTTGGAGTGCAAGGCCACGACCACCCACAGAGCTGGGGATCTGGGCCTGTATATGTGTGTGTTCTATGCTGGCTCTTCCACCTTAATGGAGGAGCTGCTTAAAAGAAACAATCACAATCTTGAGTGAGAGTTAGAGCAATGAATCATAACATTGTAGTGACACTAATTTAAGATTCAAGGGTTTGGGAAACATAACTGTCAAACAGCAGGATGAGTGTGGCTGGGCTTGAAAGCCTTAGTTATGAATGAGTGAGCATGCCTTTACTAACAGAAGGATGGAAATACACAAAGGGACACCTTGCTTAAAGTGATTTCATTGCTTGGAGTTTGGGGCCAGAGCATACGAATCCCTGAACCTCAGGTCCCCCAACTGAATGCTTGATTTTCCGGGGGGAATCTTTTGTGAAGGGAAAGATAGTTCTGATCCCGCCCCAGTGGAATGGGTGTCATGGTGGTCAGGATCCAAGAGGCAGAGTGAGGACTCGGAGCCAGGGAAAAACAATGACTGTCGAACTTAGGGGTCAAGGCAGAGGTGGGGGCCAGAAGTAAGGCCAGCAAGTGGAAATCAAGGCAAATATGAAGGGAATGAGAGATTCCAGGAGCATGGTGGTGCCTGCAGTGAGTCGGAACAAAGGATTACTATGAGGACTGGGGAAAGGCCAAAGAAGAGGTAATGGCTGCATGACAGTGACTGTAGTCAGAGTGAATGTTAAGGGATTGCTGTGTGGGAGAAAATGGACACATGTGCTCTATTTATTTATAGTTTATGTTTGCACAACACTTCCAAAAAATTTAAGGTGGCTTTCAAGAATAGAAACAATTGCAGTGTGCAGCTGTTAAAATAGAATAGAGAAATATTTTTAAAAAAGAAGTAACAGGAAACCAATTTACTAAATGCTTGGGAAAAATATGGTTATTTTAATTGGACATTGACTTTAGCTCTGAATCTCATGGCCAAGGAAAAGAAGAGGACAGTTTTCATAATCGGCAATCAAAGAAAAGAAAGCAGGATTAAATCCCAGTTTTTCTTTTATTCAGAATAAAGAGAACAGAACCTGCCTATGGGAAGAGATAGAGTTTACCCAGTGAAAGGCAAAGAAAGGAACTGAGGATGCTTGCTGCTTGGGTCTCTTTCTCCCTCTCATGCTGTCCCACACCTTCACTCGCTGACTTTTGGCCATAAGATTCTCACCCTCTGTCCATCTTCTTTCCACTCATCTAGCTGCTTGAGGCACCAGAGAATGAATGTAAGTCTCTCACCCCCTTTTTGCTATGCTCTGAACCAGCCCATGCCCTTTTACCTTCTGGCTTTTACTGAGTATTACTTTAGGTGAGGCTTCAGATACCATGGAGACTAGATAAGTTTCCCCCCTCCTGCTGACATTGAAACAGACTTCTGTCCTCACTGATGCCTTCCATGGAAAGGGTAGAGCTCTTACACACCTTATTGTGTCCCTCTTTTATTCCTCTTTTATTTTCATGGTGGGGTGGGGTGGGCATCCAGCCTACCTCCCACCTTCCCTGCGCTCTGAGTCCCATCGGGTCTGACTGGCCATGTGAGCTCTCATGTGTCTATGCTTGTAGACCATCTGCATCTGAAGGCTAAGGAAGGGGCATCGTAACTTTTCATCTCTTCAGTGGCTTCCTGAGTTCCATCCACAAACCCTGATATTATTCTCACCACCCCTTATCATAATACTCTTTACACTCCATCGTAATTGCTTGTTTAGTCAACCTGTCTGCTGCTTCCCACCCTCCGCCCCCTACACATACCAGAAGTCATGAATGGAGAGGACCAGCCTGTGCCTGTCTGGTTTGCTGTGGCATCCTCGGCACTTAGCCGATGCCTAACACAAAGTGAGCATTCAAAAAACATTTCATTTATTTAATAAAGATTAAGCAACTACTACAGGAGTGGCACTCTTCTAAGAATCTGGGATACACAAGGAAACAGACAAATCACTTTTTCTTGTAGCTCCTACATTCTCACGAATTTTGGTAAGTGAATAACTAGTGGTCATGGAGGAAATAAGGAGCAGTCAATCAAAGAGCAACAAAAGGGGTCAGAACAGTCCAACAGTGGTTCTCAAGCTGGAATGTGCCTCCAAGCACATTGATAAACATGTAGACTCTCAGCCCAGCTCCAGGGAGTAAGGCTGGAGTTGGACAGGGGCTCTCTCCTGTGGGTGGTCCTCAGACCACACTTGGAGCCATCTTGCCTGGCCTCCTAGTGTCGGAAACTTGAGAGCAGAATATTGATGAATGGGGTCAGGCGCCACGGTAGGTCGGGTCAAAGAGACATTCTTGGCACAGCACCAAATTGTGAAACAGTTTAAATAAAATAATAAAAGCAGGTAAAACTGTCTTTTATCACAGGTGAAAGACTGGCTGACTTCTGCCCTAAATCAACACAGGACATCCTGCCCTGAGGCATTAATCCTCTGTTGGCAGAAATAACCAGGTATCAGAAAAGGCTCTGGGAGGAAAAGGAGAGAGGCCTGTGCCATATTTTACTGAGAGGCAAGGGTGTATCTACTGGCCTTCTGGCTGAAATCATCTGCAGTGAGTAGAGGGCAAATGTATTTTTGTGCTGTTCACATTCTTTGGAATTGAGGCATGTGGGTGGGCAGCCCAAGGGCACCATTTTCTCCTGGGCTTTCCCTACTTCACACAATTTCCCTGTCTCACCCTCAATTCTTCTTGGAAAGAACACATGTTGGAAATGAGGGACAGAACTATCCCCCGTGGCCCCAGTCAGCCCCTACATCAGCATATGCGGGACTGCTGCCAGCATGTGAGACCTCAGCCTGAACCAGCCAAGATAACACTGTGCCCCCTGGGCCCCAGGGCATCTGTGGGGCACCAAATGCCTCTAATGTCCATAATCCAAGCCCTCTGGTAGGCTACCCTCTCCTGGCCTCTTGATCCTATACACACCTTGCTTTCTTTTCTCTCACTTCCAAACCTTTCTGCTCTGCCTTGTGGAAGTCCTATTATAAGGTAAAAATAAAATGGTTATCCTATATTATCCACCTCTTTCCTGAGGGCTTTCTCCACATTTTGTTTTAATGGAAACCAGACTTCAATCTATGTGTCACTTCTCCTTGTGGCCCTGTGGGTTGGAGGCTGCTTGTTCCCCCAAGTCCCATGAAGTGCAGGACAGCCAAGAAGAAGTCCTATCATTTATGAGGTATATGCCATCGGCTGTGTACCAGTCTGGAGAGACACAACTGTTTATCTTTTTGTTCTAACACATAAGCTCCTGATGAAAAAGAAACATCACCTGAATGCACAGAATGGCGCTTCTACAAAGCATTATTCCCTAGTGCTGCCCCACAGTCTCAGAGACCCACACTAGTTGTCTCCCTCCCTCTCTGACTTGCTGTCTCTCCCTCTCCCTCGGTTCTCCAATTTCAGCATTTCAAACATTTACCAGGCTGGTCAGCCTGCCTCCCTTCACTCCCAGCAGTTGAGTTTATGCTGTACTGTGAGGTAGGACCCTGGAGTATAGCAAGAGCCAGCAGAGATCAAGTAGGAGTTGCTGCGCTCTGAACCCAGGCCTCTCTGCTTCTTGGCTATGTAACTCTGGGCAAATTTTGTTTGCTTGTTCGTTTATTTCTCTTTGCTTCAGTGTCTTTCTGTAAAATGAGTGTCCTTCTGTAAATGTTTACTTTGTAGGGCTATTATGCGGGTCAAAGGAGTTAATGCATAGGAAAATAAGAATAGAATCTAGAATATGATGCAAACCCAAGAAATATTGCTTATTGTCTCCTTTTGTAATTCCAGGACTCTTTCTCTCACTAAGAGTGTGGGCTTCTAGATACAGAACCTTCAAGGTAGAGGGCAGAGATGGGTCATATTTGCAAAAGATGAGGAAGCTTTACTGATGTCTGCACAATTCGTGCGAACAGGCAACGTGAGGTCTCAAGTCCAGGTCAAAGGAAATCTACACAAAAGTGCGTGTAGCTTATAACCACCCTCCCATTGCACAATCCTTCCTAGTTTGGTCTTTGCTTATCACTAGCAACTCATATCCCTTTTTTAAAAAGTTCTTTTCAAATTTTATTAAGTTTTTGTTTAATATTTATTTTTGGGGAGAGTGCAAGCAGGGGAGAGGCAGAAAGAGAGGGACAGAGGATCTGAAGCAGACTCTGCACTGACAGGCTGACAGCAGTGAGCCTGATGTGGGGCTTGAATTCACAAACCATGAGATCATGACCTGAGCTGAAGTTGAATGCTCAATGGACTGAACCACCCAGGTGCCCCTAAGTTTTATTAAATTTTTAATTTTGATTCCAGTATAGTTAACAACTCATATCCCTTAATAAATGGAAGAGGCATTTTAAGGAAAAGCAGGAGTTGTGTCTAAAACTGCAATCTTGGGGCACCTGGGTGGCTCAGTCAGTTAAGTGTCTGACTTTGACTCATGCCATGCTCTCACGGTTTGTAATTTCGAGCCCCTCATTGGACTCTGTGCTGCCTGGAGCCTGCTTCAGATTCTGCGTCTCCCTCTCTCTCAGCCCCTCTCCCACTCATGTTCTGTCTCTCAAAAATGAATAAATGTTAAAATGAATCAATCAATCAATCAATCAATCAATAAAATGCAATCATTGGAGTGCTTGAGTGGCTCAGTCAGTTAAGCATGTAACTCTTGATTTCAGCTCAGGTCATGATCTCACAGTTGTGAGATCAAGCCCAGAGTCAGTGACTTCACTGAGCATGGAGCCTGCTTGGTATTCTCTCTTTCCCCCCTCTCTCTCTCTCTTTGCCCCTCCCCTGCTTGCACACATTAGCTCTCTCTCTTTCAAAAATATATAAATAAGCTTAAAAATAAAAAATAAAAATGCAATCTTAACTGAGGACCATGGGGGAGAAGAAGGGGGGAAATGGTGGGGGAAAGGGAGAGAGGCAAACCATGAGAGACTCTTGAATGCTGAGAAACAGACTGAGGACTGATGGATGTGGGGGGGAAGGGGGAGATAGGCATGGAGGAGGGCACTTGTGGGGATGAGCACTGGGTGTGATATGGAAACCAATTTGACAATAAACTATTTGTAAAAAAAAAAACTGATAAGAACTTGAAGTTTAAGTATATTTTGCTCAACAAACATCAACACTAAGATTATATTAACAAAGAGGAGAAGAAATAAAAGTTACTTGCTGACATTAATTCNGTGTTATATGGAAACCAACTTGACAATAAACTATTTGTAAAAAAAAAAAAAAATGCAATCTTCGTCCTGATTCAGAATTGTTTGTCCTTAGGGGTGTAATTTTGGCACTTTGTGGCATAGAGAATCTGCTTATGAGCACTGGGAAATCCATGTGGTGGATCCAAAGGATTCTAGGAGATTCCTTCTGCAGTGCCTAGGAAATACCCACAATAGAAAAATATATCTGAGTCACAAGAGGAGGACATGGTGCATGGTGAACAAACCATCACGAAAGCTCTATTCTGAATGGTGAAGGGATGCAGTCCTAGGCAGGCTCAAGCCATCAGTTGCGGAAGCTTTGGCCCCTGGTGGAGATACCTCATCTAGCTCACCTTCACCCCAAGTGCATTTGCCTTTTCTATAAATCCACCTAACATTTAGTTTGTTTTCATATTAAAAGACTCAGGCTTCCTCTTCTATATGCCCAGATGCTCTTTACATTGAAGTGCAATAAATTCCAAACACTCCAACTTGGCTTCAGGGGAGACCAGAGTGAACCACAGTTAGGCATAAATCATGGAGCCCAGATGTGGGGATGGTGCCGGCCCTACCATGTGCACACACTCATGTTCCCACTGGCTGCCTCACAAAGAACACACCAGAACAGAACACCTGAAACAAAAGAAACTTGACTCTCCCTAGGCAAAGAACAGCCAAAACATCAGATCTACAAAGGGAGGCCCTAATCTCTTAATAAAAAGCAATAAGAAAAAAAACAAGAATAAGGAAAAAGTATTATTTGCAAAATCCCTCCTTACCACTTTTCTTTTCAAATCATCTCAAATAATTTGTCATTGCTTTCCCTCTTGTCACAGGCAATGTAGGCCCATTTTTCTTTTTTTTTCATCTCCTTAAGCCAGGTTTAGTGCATCTTCCAACATCTTGTTCACATTTTTTTGTTAGGTTACAGTTAACAGCATTAGAAGTTTCCAGTTCCTTATCCCATCCCCAGGAGTTCTGAATCCCATTAGTGTGATAAATCTGAAAGGACCATATGTAGGACAGATACTGAGAACCTATGGTCATAATGGCAATTTGGGCTTCATCAAGGTGACTTTCAGCAGGGTTTTCCCACAACAATCTTGTACTTAGTACTGAAATTCCTCAATCTCAGGTATATTGGGACACATAGTCACCCTACTATCCCTAAGAACTTTATAAAAAAACGCTGATGTTTGCCCCTCTCCAGACAGTATCTTTTCATTGGCATGGGGCGTCTGGGCATCAATGTTCAAAAGTTTCACAAGGTGGTTCTGATGCTCAATGAAGGCTGAAGATCACACCTCTAAGACACAATCAGTTAGTTTTGATCAGGCCAGTGAAAAAAGGTTTCTCTTAGGACATGATGTGTCCTCTAATAGATATCTAGCTGACCCAGTTTCTCAGAGGCCTTTCAGAAATACAGGTACCTGGGTGGCTCAGTTGGTTGTGCGTTGAACTTGGGTTCAGGTCATGACCTCACGGTTTGTGATTTCAAGCCCCACATCGGGCTCTCTACTGTCAGCGAAGAGCCCACTTTGGATCCTCTGTCCCCATCTCTCTCTGCCTCTCCCCTGCTTGCTGTCTCTCAAAAATACATAAACATTAAAAAAAATACAGGTAATTATGGTTTAGCACTCTCCCAGTTCTCAAACAATCAAAAAGTGCCAAACAGGGAAATGAGAATATCCAACAAAATCAATTATCTAAATCCACCATAGGGACATACCTGATACTGCTCTTAAAATTTCCAAACAATTAGATGAGAACAATTTCTAGGAGTCCATGTATCTTACACCATATCATTTGGTTCCTCAAGAATCCAATGCCAATGAATTAAAAATTCAAACTGAAAAGGCCACCACTCAGGCTCAGATGATGCCTCAATGGTGTGTGCCTTCCATTGCTGACTGCAGCATACTCAGCTACCAATTACATTCTCCTTATATTCTTTCATC